CATTTAGCAGATGAGTCCTTTTTTACACAGCCGGCAGAAAACGTAGCAGGATCAGAGCAGGTGACGTGTCCCAGCACGGTAGACCCACCTGCCCAGCATCAGGCAGCCCGCTGTCATGAATCCTCCTCCACATCTTTCCGTGACCTCATCATCGATGTCAGAAAAAAGTCAGCAGGAAGCAGGAATGTTTCCTTCTTCTTTTTCCTTTTTCTCTTCAGCTGTTCGACTGCAGCCTTCAGTGCAGCGCCTTCAAATCCCGAAGTGCAGCTCACCACATTTGTGGATCGTTTGAAAAACAAAACATTTTGATATTCAGAAAACTGACTTTTGGAGATCTGTGCACAACATGACCCTGCTAATCATCAGTGCCGAGGAACACTAAGTATATTTATAAGAAGCGCACTCGGGTATAGCCAGTAACATTTGAGAGCGTAATTGTTGCAGAGAAGCTGATTTACACCTGGTACCGACTCGCACACGTGATTGTGTCACGGTGCAAACGCAGGTTAGCGTCACAGACGTAGTTCACGTCTAAATCGCTTTTAATGTCACGCGTGCACGAGCCGGCAGGGAGGAGAGCCGGCAGACGTTGAACGTTTCCCTGCATCGACATCACTGATACCAGGTGTAACTGTGGAGCTATGTGGCCAATGACGAGAGCGCAAACCCGACTTATCTGATCAAGAGGAGGGACAGTTCCAGTATTTGTTATTCTGTTTTACACATGCTAATTATAACACGACATGTACTGTATATTGTTTAATACTATAGAAGACGGATCCATTTGTCCCCCATGTAAATCTTTTGTCAAAGGAAATATTAAAAATGATTAAACGTGGTGCAATGTTGGTTGTAAGGATTTCTTTATTTTCTTATTATAATTTCAGGTTTCTGTCATCCATATTTGTACATATTACACAGCTGGACTAAAATATCACCGCGTGTCATCCTGCCCGAGGTTTAGATCATCAGTTCATCTATTTCTGGATCTCTGTCACGGAAAAGTTGACATAAGAACCTCTTCCTTTTGTCTCAGTGAGACTTCACTCGTTCAC